CCGAAATCCGAGCGGATGAACGGTTTTCTAAACCGATCCGCCCGAACCCGTCCGATGCACAGCCCTACCAGAGACGACCATCTCCGGCCAGTTTCTTCGTCTCCACTGCCGGAGACGAAGAAACTGGCCAAAGACGGTTGTCTCCGGCCAGAGTCTGTTTTTTTTTTTTTTAATTTAAAAATAATTATTTTTAAAATTTATTTTTTTAAAAATAATTAATTTGAGAGGATGACCTGTTGACCTGTTGGAAACCTTGAAATTGGAAGAATTGTTTGAAATTTGTTAGTTTAGGGACCTAATTGTTGGTTTTTTCGGTTCAGTGGCCTAATTGCATTATCGTGTGCAGTTCGATGGCCTATTTGACCCTTATTCCTTAATTATTTAAAGTTTTTAAATATTAATTCTAAATGACATTTTTGTCCAAATGTTTAATATTACTAAAACCTCCCTAACTTTGGGCAGAAAAAAATTGGTCAAGCACTTCTATTATTATTAGGGGTGTTAGTGAACAGAACTTTCGATAAACTACTCGTGTTCGTGTTCAGTAAGCGTTCGTTATGTTCTTTTATTAAGGCAAACGAACATTAACAAACAAAATTTAGAACTCGGTTTATAAACGAACAGAGTCTGAACAGTTGTAAGCTCGTTTGCTAAGAGATCGTGAACAAGCTCGTTTGTGTTCGTTTATAATGTTCGTAAACAAGCTCGTTTGTGTTCGTTTAATATTTGTTTGTATTATCTTTGTAGTTGTGTTACTTGTTTTGTTATTTTTCATGAACATATATTATTTCTTGTTCACGAACGAATTGTGATCATGAACATGTTCATATGTTTTGTTATTAAGCATTCACGAACGTGTTTATTAACATGAACGAACATGTTCTTGAACGTGTTCGTTAATGTTAACGAACACGTTCGTGAACATGTTCGCAAACGTTAACAAACACTAATGAATGCTTAACAAACAAACACGAATAGGATTTTCAAAATTCTTAACAAACGAACACGAATACGAACACTCCAAAAACCTTAACAAATAAACACGAACAACCTTCGTTCGTTTATGTTCGGTTCGTTAACAACCCTAATTATTATACATACTAATTAGAACCATTATGTACAGAAGGAATACATTTAAGCACATATATACATAAGGAATACATTTAAGCACATATATACATATCCTCACAATATTGGCACTCCAATATTTACAATTATTGATATTCTCGATTTGAACATGCAATCTGCCTAAATCGAACACATAGTGTGTGTGTGTATATATATATATATATATATATATATATATATATACAAATCCGAATATTCACTGTTGGAAATTATGGAATTTCCGACCACCTGAAAGTGATCTTAAATCAAGTCGAAAGTAAAAAGTGGTCGGAAATAGCAATAAAGGTTTTTCCGAATACCCAAAGTGATCGGAACAAGGCTTTCGACTTGATTTAAGATCACTTTTAGGTGGTCGGAAATTCCATAATTTTCAGCAGTGATATAATATTTGTACCAATAATCCAAACATACAATACACATACAAATATTACATAAAATCATGCGTCAAATAACAATTATTCACAAATACTAGAGAAATTATTTTTGAGAGATTTTAGAAAAGATGGTACACATAAACACTTACAAAAATGATTACTTTTGGGGAAACAGTATTTTGGCGAACATGAATACTTACCCTAGAAATGAAAATTTACTGCGCACACTCGAAACACTTACAGGTCGTTTGGTTGGAGGGATTTTAAATTCCCTTCCCACTTAATTCCTACCTAATTCCAAAGGCCATTAAATTCCGTAGTTTGGTTGGAGGGAATTGCAATTCCCCCATTTTCATAGAATTAAAATCTCATGTCCCCCCCTGGTATTTTAATTCCTGGGAAAAAAAGATAGTGATGAGTCAAAATTATCCCTTCCTTTTTTAACCTAAAATTAATGTCTAACAACAATAATGGACATTTTTGACTTTATACTACTTATTCCCCTTCAATTCCCATGTATACCAAACATTGGAATTGAAATTCCCAATAATTCTATTCCTGTCAACCAAACACTGGAATTTAAATTCTCACTTTATTCTCAGTAATTCAACTCCCATGGAATTACAATTCCTTTCCCACATAATTCCCCCCTCCAACCAAACGCCTTATAGTTGATAATCCTTGTTTGCTAGTTCTTTTCTTCCTTTTGGCGAGAAAAGGGAAAAAATATGGGGAAGGATGAATTTTTTTGCGCCAATGGAAGAAGATGGTAGAACATATACTCGGATTAAGATTATGTTCATGGAAAGGAATGCGTAATTATTACAAATGAAGAGGATATAATGGGATTAGGAAGAAATTAGGGAAAGAAATGTGTAGGATATTTATTTATATAATAACTATTTCTATATAAACGTATGTAACTGTCAATTTCATAATTATATATAGGTATAATAGGATAATATTATATTTATATATGCATATATATCATACATCATATGTAGTTATTACCATCAGATTTGGGAATAATATATATAATTGGGTAGAATAATTTAATATATATATATATATATATATATATATATATATATATAGACTTGCACTCGGGTGCGAACGACTCGCCCAGGCGCGAAATAGGAATGGATTTTGTTCGTCCACGTGTCAGATCTAATGGATGAGAAACACTGATTTTTTTAAAAAATGCGGTGGCATTTTCGTAAATAATTGAACATCGAAGTGCAAGTAAAATGTATTACAAGTGCATGTAAAATGTATTATAGGTGCAAGTAAAAATTTACAGTGAGCATCAATACTTAGTTGCACTTATAGTTCTAAGTAGTTGCACCTATAGTTCTAAGTAGTTGCACACATAGGTATAAGTAGTTGCATCTAGGTGTATGAATGTTTGCGAGTGGTTTTCAGGAGTATTACTACCCGCTGAACTCAGATCAATGAATGTTAACAAGGCAAAATTACATGCATTCATAGGTGAAAGTAGTTGCACCTATAGTTATAAGTAGTTGCACATATAGTTATAAATAGTTGCACATATAGTTATAAGCACACCCAGGTGCATGAATGGTTGCGGAAAGTGATTGCTAACAAGGCAAAATTACATGTACTTATAGGTGAAAATAGGTGCACTTATAAGAGATTTTACTTGCACTTCGATGTTCAATTATTTACGAAAATGCCACCGCATTTTTTTTTAAGTTATTAGATCTGGACACGTGTCGCACGCTGATTCGTTCGCATTTCCTTCCTGGGCACTTATTCGCACCTGAGTGCGTCCCTATATATATATATATATATATATATATATATATATATATATATATATATATATATATATATATATATATATATATATATATATATATATATATAAAAGTAAAATCCTCCTAGCCAAGTTTTCCCCCTAAAACTTAGGGGCATTTCTATAATATCATTCATTCATTCATTTCTATATACATATAGGGTCAGGTTCCTGTGAGATCAGGTCTTCCCGTGCGGTCAGTGCGGCATACACCATTAGGTATGCACAAATGCACCACACAGTGTTCGTAAATACACCATTATGTGTGGTGTATTTTTTGGCATTTCATTCTGGTGTATTTTCGAACACTGTATGGTGCATTTATGCATACCTAAGGGTGTATGCCGCACTGACCGCACGGGAAGACATGACCTCACAGGAACAAAAAAAAAAAAAATATATATATATATATATATATATATATATATATATATATATATATATATATATATATATATATATATATATATATATATATATATATATATATATTTTTTTTTTTTTTTTTTTTTTTTTTTTTTTTTTTTTTTTTTTTGGTTCCTGTGTGGTCATGTCTTCCCGTGCGGTCAGTGCGGCATACACCCTTAGGTATGCATAAATGCACCATACAGTGTTGCATTTATGCATACCTAAGGGTGTATGCCGCACTGACCGCACGGGAAGACATGACCACACAGGAACCAAAAAAAAAAAAATATATATATATATATATATATATATATATATATATATATATATATATATATATATATATATATATATATATATATATATATATATATATATACTATAATGGTTTTTTTTTTCGATTTAGTCTTAAATTGTATTTTTTTTGTACTTAATTAGGTCTTGGACTTTGACGATGGTTTTACCCAATTGACTTATCTGTTAAGATTGTTTGACAATTTCCCTTCTATTAATATTCAATTTAGTCATCAACTATAGTGATTTTATTCAATTTAGTCGTTGACTATAGTGGTTTTACCTAATTTATTCATCGACTATAGTGATTTTTCTCAATTTAGTCCTTGATTCTAATAGCCGAGGACTTAATTAGGTAAACCATTAAAGTGCAGGACCTAATTAAGAATAAAAAGATATTTGGGATTAAATTGAAAAAAATTACAATAATAGATGACTAAATTGAATATTAACTCTCTATGTATGTTAGGTGCCTACTTTATCCAAAACAAATAATATTATATTGTAATTGTAATGTTAGTAAAATTTTATTTTCTTATTATTTTGGAATTAGAATAAGCTAGTTTAGGCTGTTTAGCTAATAAATTACTATTACATATTATAGAATACAAAAGTTTACCTCAAGTCATTGGTCTAGTGAATTGAATAAAAAGTCTCAAATAAATTGAATAAAAAGTCTCAAATAAAACTTATTTTCAACAATAAGACGAGGATTTGATGCACAGATTAACCTGTTGATTTTATGAATCTAAATTAAATTCAATTAAAGAGGAATAATTTTCTCCTAATAGTTATATACTATATGTACTATTAATTTTTACTTTCTGACTTTTACTCAATGATAGGGATAAATTAAATAATCATAAATTACTTTTTCATGTGAATTCTAATAAAAATGCATGTCAATATCAAAATTTGAAATGTTAAAGTAAAATATCACAATAGAAATCAACAAAATATTTTCCTTTCGTACTCCTCTGTCAGAGGATTAAAATCCTCATCATATTTCAATTTCTTTTGTAAAGTTTACTATATTTTGTGTTCATCAACAGAATTAACCCCTGACATATGAAAATTATAATCGAGTTTAAAACAAAACAAATTCAACAAGCTGCCCGGATTCCATAAACTACATACATTCAAACTATATATATATATATATATATATATATATATATATATATATCCTTCTACATGTGACGAAGTAGATCATGGCATGTTGAACTCTCCTGCGAAAGCTTGGCCAGGTGGTCGTCGAGAGTTTCCCGCTTTTCTGTTGTTTAATGTGATGAATGAGACGTGTCAGATCAAATAAAAATGGGCCATGCATAAAAGAGCATATATAATTAATATTTTAAACTTTATATGTAATACTTTATATCATAAATGTAATAGTTTATAATAAAATTGGATGAAATAAATAATAACATAACAGAATTGAATACATAATCAATACTTTAAATTTTATATATAATATTTTTAGTATAAATGCAATACACATTTTGCATGGAATAAAGTAATAACATAATATAATGGCAGATATCATCAATACTTTAACCTTATATATAATACTTTATAGCATAAATGTATTGCACATTTTGTATGGAATAAAATAATAACATAACAGAATTAGAGATATCATCAATACTTTAAAGCCTTATATATAATACTAACATTTTGTACGCGCGATGCGCGAAAACTTATGCCCAATATTAAAATATTTGTAAGTAACAAAATTTAAAAATTTAGTTAAAATTATGTTTTGCAATTTCTTAAAATGATGATACTTTTGAATTATCATATATTTGAATAATATAGTGATTAAAACAAAAAAAATAAATTATTTTTTATATAATAATAATTTACAAATAATACTAAGCTAACACTCACATATATGATATATTGATATGGATACACAAATAATATACATACATACATACATACATATATATATATATATATATATATATATATATATATATATATATATATATATATATATATATATATATATATATATATACACACATATATAATTTAACATTCATATAAATATTTAATTAAAATATAATTTATAATTAAATTAATTGTTATATGATAATTTTAATAAAATGATAATTAAAAATAGGAAAAAGATATGATAGATGTAGGTGTATGGTAAGATTGGTAGATATATTAAAAACTAACGGTGTTATAACGGTGTAGGGGTGATTTTGTCCAATGCAAATGAATGTACAACAATTAAAGCAAAATGTATATATTTATAACCATATAAAAAAGGGACAAAAATCAAGGACATAACTTGTATTGACACTTATTATGTTTTTAGATTTATAGGAAAATTATAGTAGACAATTTGTAAGAAATAAAGTGTTATCACATATTAGAATTATTGCCGGCATAATCAATATTTTAAGTCTTTTATATAATACTTTATAGTATAAATGTAATAATTTATAGCAAAACTATAATATAGTAAAAAATAATATTACTAAACTCATATACCATAAGACCCAAATTAATTCTCTCATGACCCGACCCGTCTAGGAGAATTTGTCTTCAAGTTGTAGTCTTGTAAATGAATATAGTATATTTGAATATTTTATAGGCACGTACTCAATTGACTCTTAATTAATTGAAATTTGAAATAACTACTGAATACTAAATATAGTCGATTTGATACTTATGGTTGATTCTATTTGAGGAATTGAAATACCAAAAGACCATATGACTTATCAATAAAAAAAAAATATCGTCTAATAAAGTACACACACACACACACACACACACACACACACACACACACATATATATATATATATATATATATATATATATATATATATAAAATTATAAATTGTTTAAATACAAATTGTTATAACGTAACTTTTGTTCGAATAAAAAAATATAATTAAGCAAACTATAGATTGTATTTAAAATAAATAATATTATTGAAAGCAATGATATATATGATAAAGCTCATCATCATGCACTAGCATAGGTAGATGAGAGAATCTGGCATACTTTGATTTGAAGTAGAGTAGAGTTGCATGAAAGTAACACTAAGGAGAAAAAGAAAGTGAAAGGGGGAGAAGCAAAAGATGGCATGAAAAGGCTAAAGAGTAAAGGGGCTCATAAATGGTGATGATGAGAACAATAACATACATGAAATGAAAGGTTAATTAGCTTTAATAAACTTCACTTAGAAGAGAATAATATATAAAGTGATGGGCCATACAAATATATTATATATTTTTTTTTAATTATTTCCCTTGATATTTTTTTTTGAATTTAATTAAAGTGATGCTATGCTGCATTAACACCACAAAACTAGACTAGATGTGATTCTTGGGAAACTTAGACTAGGTTGTTCTAATTTTGAGCTCTTCATACTAGCTACATTCATATAACTTTGCTTTGCAAAGCTGCATACAAAATCAAAGAAAACTCTTTAAAATATTTAAATCTAATAAATTAAAGAATTTATAACCAATGGCATCAAAAGAATAGAGAGATCGAGTATAAGCAGCAAAGAGAGACAAAGTAAACCTAGATAGTGTTGGGCAGATGATGCCAGTTAATAGTCAAGTCCAACACCAAATGGCTCGAGGGATTATTGGGTAAAGGCTTGAAGGGCTAAGTCCATCACCCTTCCTCCCGAAAATGTAGCAATATAACGACTCAAAAATGTAACAGTATAACGAAATAAAGTTGTGCATTCACTACTAGCTATAACTTTTGGCGTAGTGCACCGCGCTTGATTCTAATATAGAGCTAGCCAGCTCCCATGCATGCATACCCAGTATTCCTCCCTAATACCTATTTATTTACACACACACACACAATATATATATATATATATATATATATATATATATATATATATATATATATATATATATTTATATATATATATATATATATATAGAAGAGCGCTCATATGCGGCGGGGTCTTACGGTGCGGCGGTGCGGTCAAATTCCAGAATACACCAACAGTGTTAACAATATGCACCAACAGTGTAATAAAAACACACCCCAATGAAATGTAATAAAACATCACAAAATACACCACAGACTCAAAAAAACACACCATATAACTCACCACCCCAAATGGTGTATTTCCGAACAGTGTATGGTGTTTTTACTCACACCTAATGGTGTGTGTTTGGTGATGCAGGGCTCTGTTTACTCTGTTTTGTGTGGTGTATTTCCTAACGTTGATGGTGCATATTTAGTGAACTATTGGTGTTGCCGCACCGTAAGACACTGCCGCACCTGAACCCGCCTCTATATATATATATATATATATATATATATATATATATATATATATATATATATATATATATATATATATATATATATATATATATATATATATATCTTATATATATATATATATTATGAGTGAGCTAAATGATGTGACATCATTAAAAATTAAAATAAAACGATTAAAATAAAAGATTATTGCACCTACCTGTTATGGATAGGGTCAGATCCATTTGGAACTCTTCTTTTGCTGATGAAGTTGATAAGATCCATTCTCCTATGGAAGTTTCTGATATCCTCCTTCATGCTTCCTCTTTCCAGGTTTTGTAAGGCTGCAGCCACCATTAACAACCACATAACCACTCCTATCACCACCACAAAACCCTTATTAATACTCCTACTGCCCATATATGATATATCTATATATCTATATATCTATATCTATAAATAGGGTTTTTATATTGAAGCTAGTATATATAGAAGAAAGTGAAAATATTGTTGAAGCTAAGGTGGCTAGCTAAGGTTGTATTATTACATGGGATAGCAGGTAGGTGGTTGGTGTTCTTTATAGGTCGGAGGTGAGGCAGTGATTCTCTGTTACTTTAATTTTCTCGAACATAGAGAGAGAGAGAGAGATGTGAGGGAATGAAGTGCTTTATAGTCTGAGGTATACGACAATCTTTGTTTCTTTTTTGCTTTGATTTGTGTATTTTCATGCACATAATACGTAAGATGCCAGCATGCCTCCATAGAATTCGTTACGTACAATTATATATATGCTAAGTGGATCCTGTTTTTGATGGTCCAAAAAGTACATACTGTTGCTTGTGTTTGCTTCTGTATGTACACATGCAAGTATAGTAACCGATTTAATATATATAATTCTATTTTTAATCTTTTATTATATATGGTCATATCGCATCTTTTAACTTTTTTTTTACTTGTTAAGTCATGTTCTAGTAAGGGAATAAATTTGACCAAAAAAAAAAATTAAGTTTGTACTATTGAATGTGACAAAGAAACCCACAGTTTTCACCGTGGGACATATATAATGACTAATTCAATTCTCTCACTGAAATATAGGTAAGATGGGAGCAAAACACAACAGTGTGGAGCACGGTCCAAAATGACGTCGTTGAATTTTATGAGTTAGAATAATGTACATTATGTGTTAGAATAATGTACGTTATGTATTAGAATAATGAAACTTTTGGGATAAGATAATGTACATTATGTATTAGAATAATTTATATACATTATGTGTTAAAATAATGTGTTTTATGTGTTAGAATAATGTACATTATGGGTTAGAATAATGAAACTTCTGGTGAGAGTTAATGTACATTATGTGTTAGAATAATGTATTTCATGAATTATAAAAATGCATATTCCAGCAGTTCGCGTGAAAATAAAAATTGCACGAAACGACGTCGTTTTTGGACCGTGATCGATCTACGCAACTGTGTGGACGGTGGTGGGACAACTAGCCTGGACAGCTGGACCGATCCATCACGTTTGGTTAAGGATGGATGACCCGTTCCACTCCACTACATTCTCCACTTTAAAGATGTAATGTGATTAAATTAAAAAGATATAGCTAAATGTAGGGATCGGATGATATAATAATAGTTGCGGATTGAAATTGGAATTAGCAACATAATAACTCTATCTCAAACGAGTAGTGCTATATCCTCTACAAAAATTGCCTACATAATATCACTTCCTAATGTATAAAGATGGTGTATGATTCTTTTTTCATTTGCTATTGTGTGGACACTTTATTAACTCATAGTAAAATGAAATCATCCAATTAATGGGTATCAAAGGAACATAAACTGTTTTCTTCTTTTAAAATTTATAGATAAGGTCACGTAACACATAATGCTAAAATTTATATGTAATGTCACGTTAAGAAGTGAATATTAGATAGTGATTTTATTATGAGAAAGAAAAGTAAATTTTTATGGTCTTAAATATCATTTAATTGTGGGAAAATGGCACTTTTCCCCCCTATGTTATATACTTATAGCACTTTTCCCCCCTCAATTATTTAAGTTGCTCTTTTTCCCCCTGAAATGTTAAATGGACATATTTACCCTTAAAATAAATATTTCATTTATTTTTATTCTCCAATAAATTATTACTATAATTTGGTTCAAACCAGATACTATAGTAACCAAACCAAAATATTCCAATTACAATTTATAATCAAAACGCGATATTTAGAGTTTATTAAAATCGCGAACTGGAATGGCCGGTTCATGTTCCGAACTGAAAAAATAAAATATATTTATTGTTGAATTTAAACTATTTTAAAATAAAAAATAAAATTTTAAAATAAAGACGGTTCAAAATCGCGAACGGGATCCGGAACCGCCGGTTCATGATCCAGTTTTTTTTATTCTTAAATTTAATAAATTGAAATCCAAATATTGGGTTCTAGATCTGAATCATAACTGAAAACTTTTAATTCGATTGCTATAGTGTCTGGTTCAGTTCGAACCGAACCGTGGTAATCGCTACATATACGCAATAATTTGTTGGAGAAGTAAAATAAATAAAATGTTTACTTTAAGGGTAGAAATGTCAATTTAATATATTAGGGGGGAAAACCACCACTTTTAAAATAATTGAGTGGGCTAATGTGCTTACATAAATAATTGAGGGGGAAAAAATGCTATAAGTATATAACATAGGGGGAAAAAGTGTCATTTTCCCTTTAATTGTCATGTTTGTTGTGAAACTGGACGTATCCTCATGTGAATCATTGTACCGCTCTCAACGGGAGATGCAATACAAATAGGAATATAGAATAAAGTAAATAAAAAGACAATAAATATAGAGAGAATCGTCAATTTTTTATTAATCATCCTTTATTTCAATATATGCACGATGTGCAGAGTTCCTAATTAATTATTATACTATAATCCCTCTAGTAATATCCACATGTATTCATGAGTAATACTATACACCCCTAATTTATTTATCTACATTTTTTCCTCCTGACTTGACTTCACTTGTTTGATTAAATTTCTTTTTTTAGTTATTGGTTGCTTAGTCTATTCATGGACACCCAAGAGCTGCAGGATGAGGAGAAATATGAGAGCAAAAATTTAGGACGGGTATGAAACGTTTTTTATATATATTTACAACAATGTTTTTATTATTATATAATAATAAAATTAATTTAGAATAAAGTTATATAGACAAAAACTTTTCACTAAAATTCAGCACCATTTGACATGACAATGTATAATTTGTACTTTGATTAATGAGCATATCGGTGGAGCTAGGAATTGTGTTTAGTGGGGGAAAAAAATTAGAATTAAAGGCGGCAGTTACCAAATTTGATCCTTGGACCTTTCATAACAAAAGTTTACTAATTACCAACTAAACCTATCACAACCTATTAAAACATATTATTACCCCCCTCCCCGGGATCTGCCCTTGAATGAGTAGATAGATTTCTTATTTAATGCATAGTAGAGTCGGTCAATATTTCACGATAATAGTCTAAATCTAAATAAAAACATAATAAGCTTCAATCCAAGTTATGTCTCTGATTTTTTGTCTGTTTTTTCTGTTAACTTTTTTTGTACCTTATGCTATAAATATTGTACTATATAATTATTTGGACAAAAATATCCCTGCCGTTATAACTTCTGTTATCTTTCACATTATTATTACCATGCACATGCATACACAATATCTTTTTCTTACATTCTTCAATTGATAAGGTTGATTTTATTTAGATTAATTAAATGTTACCATAGTTATATTTAGTAATATATTATTTCTATAATTCTTACTTCATTAATATTAATATGAATTCCACAATTATATATATATATATATATATATATATATATATATATATATATATATATATATATATATATAAAACTAAGATTTTAAATATTAAATATTAATATTGGGCATATTTTTTTGCGCATCGCGCATATGAAATACTAGTTAATTAATAAAAAGAGTTTTAATTGCATGCAAAATCAGATAATAAAGAATTTAAGAGAGAATTTTTCTTTTATCTAGATATGCACTTTATCCAATTAATTTTCTTGTGGCTTTAAGATTTCCATATACAATTGTATAGTAATATGTCCACTAAAGACAAGAGAGGGAGAAAAGATGGTTTGTTTGTTCTCATCCTTAGAGTTCTTTGAAGCTTTTAATAGAAATTTTGACTGAAAAGGCAAATAATAATTGGTAGATACCAAGACTCGAAAGAGAAGATGAGCATAACTATGCATCATTGCAAAGTAAAGGTACTTGCTAAAGTTCTTGGCCTGCCTTAACTTTTGGCAATACAATACCTTATTACTATATATTATATTAAAAAATAAATTAATTAAATAACTATTTTAATTTGAACTTGAATTTTGTGGCCTTTCCATCTCTTCCAAATCCAATATCTCACATGCATGCCACCTCGTTCTCTTTTGCTTTGTATAGAAGGTAGTCAATATTATCCGCCCAAAGACAACACATTTTTAACCTATTATACATTATATATGCTTTATGCATCTATTGAGATAACAATTACCTTTAATTTTAATTTACTATGTAGGCTGACCTTACCCCTGCAAGTGTACCCATTTGTAATCTTATTTGACATGCCACATGGAATTATTTTTTATTTTTATTTTTTTTTTGTTATATGATGTGTAATGCAAACTTGCATCTTTTGCAAGTTTGCAAAGTACAAAGAACTGCCGAATGGCAGCCTTCTTTGTACTTTAGTATTGCAAGGCAGCCATGCTGCCTGCAAATATGTACTTTTCTTTACTTTTTTGTTCTTTTTTATTTTTTTATTTATATATATATAATATAAAATAAAGGTGGGACCCATTTTTTAGAGTAAGAGATTTGTAGGGATGTAGTGTGAATAGGAGATGATTTGCAAATAAGATGATGTGGAAGTGGGACCCATTTTTGAGAGTGGGAGATGTTTGCAGGGATAAGGACAGCCTAAATTATGTAAGACTTTCCCGTATAATATATATTATATATTATGGGTCTTACTTATGTGGTTCAAGTGGACTAGGCCCATTAAGTAATTGGTTGGGTTGGACCTTTAGGTTTAAGTCTTATATCCACCAATGTGCCTATATAAAGCTTGTATTGATGGAATACAAGATACATGAATATTATATGGTACTCATACTGCTAAGAAAATACCAGTACACCATCTAGGGTTCTGAGTCAAGTATGAGACAAAATGGCTAACCCTATTCTGCAGATCTACCGTTCAAAAGGCAGCTACGAGTTAAGTTTCTCGTAGATTATGCTTTGTATATTTAAATCTCACAAATTATCGATCCTATATATCTTAACTAATTTGTATGATATTTATAAATATATCTTTTATACAATATGCATATTACTTCTCATACTCTAATTTTACTCTCAGTTTCCTATTTACAATTACCCGAATCTATGCCAAATCCAATTAATATCTACAAGCTTAGCTTTCACTACAGCTAGAATCACTTAGATTATGATGATATTGTA